ACCACTCTCTGGGCTCGGCCGTCCAGCCAGTTTTTAACCCAGTGTAGAGTGCACCCATCCAAGCCGTGTGCAGCCAGCTTCTCCAGGAGAATGCTGTGGGAGACTGTGTCAAAGGCCTTACTAAAGTCCAAGCAGACAACATCCACAGCCTTCACCTCATCCACTAAGCGGGTCACCTTGTCATAGAAGGAGACCAGGTTAGTGAGGCCGGACCTCCCTTTCATAAACCCAGGCTGGCTGAGCCTGATCCCCTGGTTGTCCCACACGTGCCATGTAATGGCCCTCAAGAGGATCTGCTCCATGACCTTTCCCAGTACCGAGGTCAAGCTGACAGGCCTGTAGTTCCTCGGATCCTCCTTCTGACCCTTCTTGTAGCGGGGCGACACATTTGCTAACTTCCAGTCATCTGGGACCTCCCCGGTTGACCCGGACTGCTGATAAATAATGGAGAGTGGCTTGGCCAGCTCCTCTGCCAGCTCCCTCATTATCCTCGGGTGGATCCCATCTAGATCCTACCATTACAATAAGCCAGCATTAACTGACAAGTAAATACCATCTTCTAACTTTTCCCTGGCATTATTCAAAGGCTTTTTATTGAATTGTTTTGTTTTGTTTCAAATCAAGAGGCAAAAAAAATTTATTGATGTTAAAACTGTATTAGTAATAGCTAATAACATTTGCACTTTGAGAAAAAACTGTGTTGGGCAACTTGCTGGAGACAAGGGGCATAGACATCACTGTGTCCTGTTTCATAGCCACATGCAGTGCAAAAGAACTGAGTGAAGATAGTGGCTGTGCTGTCCTGTCCTTTATACCTTCAGCTACTGAGAACACAACATTCCCCAGTTTCAGTCAAAAAGCTGAACAGGTACCACAATTCAAAATACAAAGCATACTCAAAACCCCAGTGTTTTCAGGTGTAAGTGGAAATAAATTTATACCAAGTACTTGGTTTTTCTATTTTGAAATCTTATTCAAGAAGCCATCAGAGGGGTGGTAATTTGTGACTAGTTTACTCTGTAGCATGGAATCCTTTTTTTTTTCCCTCTTCTCCTTGAGACAAGAAGCAGAGTATGACTTCAAGGAGGTATATGGTTACCAGCTTAGCTGGATATAAATGAGATGTATCAATCTAGTGGCCAGATCAACATATTAATACATAGCACTTAAGACACCAATTGCTTTTGGCTAAAGGTAAACCCACTGACTGTATTAAAAACATTTCTTCTGAAAAATTATAGATTTAAATTAAGGAAAGTGATGAAGTAAGTAAACTAAGACAAGAAGAAAAGGTAAAGAACCATATTAATACCATATTGAATCATAATTCATGTCTACACAGTTTTGAATTAGTATTATTCCAACAACTGAAGCTTTCTTCAAGTAACCATATCGTTCTTTTAAGAACTATATACAAGCAGAATTTTAAGAGAATACCAAGGCAGTTAGGTGCTATTAAGCATCAGGGCCAGCACTCTCCTTATAATATTCTACATGTTGGAGCACCCCCCACCCCGCCCCAAATAATCAAAGGCCTTTGCACCCCTTCAATCATAATTAAATTTGAAAATTTGGTATATTTCCCTAGGCCAAATTTGAAGTTCAGGATAAAAGCAGAGAGTTTCAGTATTTTCTTCTCATTTTAGAATTCGTTTCCTGCAAGTTCCTTCAAAGAGTCAGTAGACAACACTTTTAACTAAAAAGTACAATCACTGAAAGGCATTTTTTAACTTACTTGGTTATCTCTAGGACGAGTAGCAGCATTACATTCCCTGTCATCATCCAAAAAAACTCTGTAAGTCCCAGTAACACATTTGACTGCACGCATCTGGTATCCACGTCCACACGTTACAGCACACTGTTAAAGTCAATAATTTCACACACTTGAAATAGTGCTATTTATAATAAAATTTAATTTTAAATTACATTTTCTATCTCAAAACTCTTTCTAGAATGAATAGGAATGACTACTGGGATGGTGTTAACTTCATGGCAGACCATACGCTGCTTAAACAGTGTCCATAACACACCAATATTTTGGCTGTTGCTGAACAGTATGCAGGATAAAGGCTTTCTCTTTTTCCCCCTTCTACCCCCTGCAGTGAGTAGGCTGGAGATGGGCAGGAGATGGGGAGGGAACACAGCCAGGACAGCTGACCCAAACTGATCAAAAGGGACAATCCATGCTATATAATGTCATTCTCAGCAATAAAAACTGGGGTAGAGGAAGGGGGGGGAGGAGGGAGTAAGGGGTGGCTTCCAAATGAATCATTAGTTGCAGCTGTTAAAGGTCTTTTCCTTCACTATAGAGTTTGACAAAAGCACACTCAAAGAAGGCACCGAAAATGTTAGATGGCTGAAAATACTGACATAAATCCCATCCTATAAATGTTGTGGTTCAAGCACAGATACTGGTAAAAACCCAGGTCATGAATAGCTATTACCAGATGGCACGGTAGAAAAACTCCAATGGAAAGCTCTGCTCCAGTGACATGGATTGGTAAATTGCTTGTACAAGCTATTCCAGCAAGGCCATACACAATGATTTTTTTATTCAGAAGAATTATATCATGGGACTGAATTATTTTTTTATTTCATTTTTGCATTTAGCTTGTAGGAATGGAAAGCCAGCACCTTGTGATCAAAAGATTACTCAAAAGGAATTCAACATTATGTTAGACAACAGTGTGGTTATCTCTAACCTGAAAAAATATTACATGAGAAAAGTTCTATACAAAATAAATGTTTAAGTTAAAAATATACTTAATTTCCAAAGGTACATTTATTCTGTATTTTACTAACAGGTTATATGTAAAAAAATAATCAGCTGCTATTCAGTTATGAATTCTCACTAACATCCAAGAAACACTGAATAATCCAACACTTCTGTTGTTTTGAGTAACTTGATCATATGAAAGCTCCATGAAATTGAATACCTTATTATTTTTTAATTAATTCTCATCTATTTGTTGACAAAAGTTTCCTTTGCAAATTAATTCACTTTTTTCCAGAATTTGAAGCCACTCTGGTATACATTAGATGAGCATCATTACACACAGGAATATATTTTTCAACATCGCTTTCACATAAAGAGATAGCAGATCTTTTATTACTGAAGGTCAAAACAAAACATAACAACAAAATACTAAGTCTTTTTGCCTGCTATTATTAGCATATACACTTCTATGATCTTAACTAAATAAATATTTGGTCTTTTACCTGTCTCATTCATCTGAACGGTTTGCTATCTACATTTTCATTATTCTGGAGATGTAATACATTCATGTGAAATGAATGAGAACAATTATACGATTCTATGATTCTATATTAAGGCTCAGGGTCAATGACTATTTTAGGCATTTAACTTATATGTGGGTGTTCCTAAATTACAGGTTAGATAGCCAATAGCAAACAAACATGTGAATCAATTCAACTAAAGTAACTGCTTAAGATCCAATTAAAATGTTTAAAAGGTATTGTTTTGTGACCACTCATAGTCTGAACTAGAAAACAAGAAGCCAGGAATCCTTATGTACTCACTGATCCCCAAGGCCCTACTTGCCAAGATGCACATTCATGAAGTTCACAGGGTGTTATTGATTCTGGTCTATCATTTGGATTACAGAAATCATCTCTCAGTTGTTCATCATTCAGTTGGCACCATACTTGACGATGCTTCATTCCTTTGCCACATGTCACAGGACACTGTAAAATTATTAGAGTCATCAGTTCGTAAAGACATGAATCTGCATTAATGGCTTCACTTTCTTTTAGTAATCTGTTGGATTTTAATGATCACAATAAATAACAAAAATATTCCATGAATGTAAGTAGTCCAACAAAACTAGTTCTTTTATGAACTCTCCATTTCAAACGTCAACCCAAATGCTAATACAAAGGAATCACTATTAAGTTTCTAAAGCTACAAAAATATGAGAACAATGTACAGATCACTTATTTCTGTTAGAATAAAGAATACTTGTTTAAAATATGAGGGCACATATCACAGCTTTCACAGGAAAAATGTTTAAACTATCCATGATTCTTTTATACCCATATAATCTATAATAAAACAGATATAATACTGTTCTTCAGCTGGCTGGCTGGTTCTCATTGCTTAGAAAAAAAGGAAGGTATGCATATTACTGTAGATAGATTTATTTTAAAGTAGCTTCACTACCTCATTTTAATGTAACAAGATTTCAGAGAAAAATAAATTCTAGGTGTGTTTTTCAGAAGTTCTCATGCCATTTGTACATCTGGGATGTTTATCAGCCACATCCTAGGACTTCAGAATTTTTATTATTGTGTGCCCCAAAATGGCCAGAACAAAAAACCCAAACACTTAAAGCAGCTTATTTTAATATCGATGACCAGACCTTAAGTTTTGCGTGGTTCATTACCTCGCTCCACTCACTAACAGACCAGCTTGGACATAAGAATTCATTGCAACTCTGTGTTACAACTCTTGGAAGTTCCTGGCATTCTCTGTCAGGAAGATGACGACCCAAATTGTTCATACAAAAAGCTTCTCTGGTTCTGACACCTCTTTCACAGCTCCTGGAACACTGCAGTGCACAGACAATATTACAAAATAGGAAACACATGCTAAAACTAAGTCAAAATACATTATTAGTCTTAAAGGTAAAAGACATTAATGACTGTGTTAGACAAATGTATCCTACATTTAATCCACGACTGCTAATATGTTCATGTGAGATAAATTTGGCACTTTCTTTAGTAGTTCCAAGATTAAACTCTTTAAATGAAGATTAAAGCTGCAATTGTACTTAGTTCTTTTCTCCAAAATAGTCTCACAACTAAATTATTACAGCTGTAAATAAAATATACACCTTTAAGCACCAGATCTTCTCTGCTGACTTCCAAAACCAAGCTGCAAAAAATTTAGCTACAGTTTCTTACAAAAATATGAGGAAGCTGCTGAAATATAAAGATTGGTATTGGCTCCTCCTACAACTCTCCATTTATCAAACATTATTTTCTTTTAGTTACTTAAACTAAAAAAATTGATATAGAAATAAAAATTTGACATGAATGCTAACCAGAACTATAATGGTACGATTATAAGGTTTTGAATTTGTACCTCTGACCATTCCGTGTAGTGCCAACTTGTTAACATACAGTCACCATGGCAGGGCTCTCTGGTGGGTGGCTTCTGCTGATCAGCACAGTACTTATCATCCACTGGAGCACTGAGTCCTTTTGAAATAGAGTACTTCATGCAGTGGATCTCTACAGATCGATACCCTGGGCCACACTTTGATGTGCAGTCACTTTTGCCAACATTGTGCCACCTACAAGGATAAGCTGTAGGTGAATAAAGCACCCAGAGAATGTACGAGGAATTGCCATGTAAATGTAGATATGCATTTTAGGGAACAGATAAAAACTGTAAAATATATCTCATGACTGGAATTTTCAAAGCAATATAAAAGAATTTGACTCATAGGCTTAAAAACATATTTTTAAATTTAAAGGATCTTTTATCTTAATCTCCTAGGTGACTTTGAAAAATGTAAGCTATAATTCTAACTGTTCATCCTCTGAATACTTCAGCGTGGGCTTTCTTGGAGTGCAAAAACACAAGTCTGTTTCAAATTAGTTCCAGTTGTGGGTACAATTCTGGTGAAACATGTATTCTGCCCAGCAATGCAAGTTTTTGTGCCAGGATACATAGAACAGATTCACAATCCTAACAAAAGACTTTGTACTTTACCAATAAAAACTAGATAAGTACACTAGTTCTACTTAGATTCAGAGGTATAAACCTAATGTACAAACCCATTATACCAATAGATTTGAGGAAAGGAGGGAGAGAAGGGAGGGATAAGGGAGGTGGAGAGAGGTGGAGGGACAGAGGATAAAGCAATCTGAATGATTTTGTTTCAATCTCTATCAACAACAATATGTAAGACCACAATAGCTCTATCAGGAACCTCTCTTTACCTTAATTCACATTCTGTATTACACTCCTCAAAGACTTCTGGTACCATGGGTATAAGTTCACATCTTTGATCAGACACTACCACATGATCACTTTTACGTATGCATGTCATTCTTCTTCTTCGAATACCTTGAAAAGGAACCAAACAAAGTGAATAAAGAGCTAAAAAATAAGAATGCCTTTTTACGCTAGTGGATTCCATTCATCATTTAGGAATTTAACTGAGATACCCCATTAAGACTAATCTTTGTATACAGGAGATTCTGTACAAGCATGCTGCTTTGGGCAGCTGACTACATTCCAGGTGGAGAACAACCTTGTTCCAGTCACCCCTGCCATCTCCCAGCTGTACTACAGTGATCTCACAAGGTTATCAACTTCCAGAAAACTGCAGAAGTGCAACAGTCCATTTACTCATCAGGCTAAGTATTCCAAATGAATCATGTCTGTCCTTTGATAATTAGCAAATTACCAAACCACCGTGTTAACTTAGAGGTTGTGATCCTTTTCTTTAAGGAAACAGAAAATTTGATCACAAGGTATCTAAAAGATCTGGAGTCCGGAGAGAAATATCACAGTTGACAGATGCTCTGCTTTTCTAGCATGTGAGCACGTCTACAGCCTGACTCAAAACCAGAAGAAACTCACAATCACCTACCTCAAGCACAGACATTTCTAGCACCTGCTAATAGGAGTATCTATCAAAATTCTGTGTACATACACTTTATATGTACACTTCATACATATTGCGGTTTTATTTTTACACTGGAATGGCCTATAGAATAACAAAATTGTAAAAAATTGTAAAAAAAAAATCTTCAAATAGCTTCACCCCAAGTAGCAGATAACCAAAACAGACAAAGAAATATATAAAAGATACTAGACAAATCAGTCAGTGACCATCTGGAAATATGATAACGGAAGCCTAATACATATTAGCAGATATACAATACTGCTTTCTAAGGATGCATTAGTCTTGATTCAATTTTTTTTTTTTTTAATAAACCACTCCTATGGCTACAAAAGAAAGGAACACAAATGTAGTTTTGAACATAGAATTGCATTGCATAAATAGGGGAAAAAGCAAAACAAAATCAGAAGCCATTCTGCCCTTAAAGGCTCTGTGCACCTAAAGTTTGCTGAGAGTGCTGAGTTTCTTCCTTACAAGTAGGAGTGAAAAATCTGAGTACTTAAGACTAGTCCCTTCCTAAATGCCATCAGGTCTTTGGTTCTGGTGACAAAAGAATTCACAGTACCTTGGCACATCCTGCTGCAGTCTTGCCAGGGTCCGTAAGGATCCCACGTAAACAAATCGCTTCTGTCTTCTATTGGGATGTTGAATGAATAACGCACATCAGGGTTGTATAAAATCCCTATTCAGTGAATTTGAACATAAAATTATGAACATAATGATCATGTAGCAAATTTTCAAACTTATGAAGAAAAGTAAACATGCACCTGTAAGGTTAGCTCTTCTTCGATTCTATCAGTGCTGTTAATTCGTTCTATCGTATTGTTTGAACCACTGTACTCAAAAATGGCTCCTTGAATATTGATTTCTCTTTTTGACATGCTTACAACAAAATTTCCATTCAAGATAAAATTTCCATGAATATCAGATAAAGCTATAAATAAAATAAAATATTGGAAATAAAGCATCTATTTACTTACAAGGTTCTATCAATAAAAATTCTTAATAATATATCTTCTCATCAACACTTATCTTTATTTTAGTCTATGATGTGTAATACTTTAACATTGTATCAAACAGTTTCTAATGCATGTATACAATCCTAACCATCATTAACTTTCATCTGAGCAGTTGTCATGAATCTTCTCTGCATTAACAACACAACTTTACTAATATTTGTTCTGCTGAAAGGTGGACCGCAGTCATCACTTTTAAATTTGGTTAGGTTCTGCTAAGGTAGAAGGAAACAATTATTATCTATATTTCTGGCCTATTCTACAGCCCACATCCTTGGATTTGCTAGAGCTACTTCTAGTGAAGTGGCTTTTAAAAGTAAATTTTAAAGTAAAAAAAAAAAGTAAATTATTAAGCATTTATAATGGTAATGGAAGAAGAGACAAAAGGAAAATATGCACCAATATTCTCTCAGGCACTTCAGATGTAACATAAGTACTGTGAAACAGAACAACCAAGATCTTTGGTACAATGTGCTTGTGAATTCTGTTTCTCTCACACACTTGAAAATCTATCAACATGTGATCTTTATACTCAGATAAACAGAAATGTGAAACAATGGTAAGTTTGCTGAAGGTCAGACTGCTTCATTTATAAACAAAGTGTATGCTTCCAGGATTTAAAACCACAAATGCCTGCATTATTGCCGAGTTCACTTGTGGAGTTTTAATTAACGTTGCCACAACAAAGTAAAAAATGGACAAAATGATGCAATGTGCTATAATTCTTATTCTCTGACAAATGAACACACACATTTAAGAATTAGAAACCTAACAGCATCTCACTCATTTTTCCTAAAACTAATATCTACAGAGAGACTCAGGCAAATGATGATACAATGTAATGAGATATTTACTCAAAAGACTTCATCAGACTTCTGACAATATATGTCTAGAGCAGAACTCTGGCAAGAGCACAAAAACTATCCATCAATGTTATACATGGGAGGCTTTTACCAAGGTAGTTGTCATCTTCTGGTTTCCCTGAGTAGCTGTGCTGCCGAATATCAATGTTTGTTGCTCCTTTGGGAATATTTACTACAACATTGTAACCTGTAATGTAATTATTCACAAATTTATTATATACAAAAATAGTCAAATACTAGTAAATGTGAACACGCATTTAACTAGTTTTATTCCAATATCCTACAGTGCACCAGTGACAACCACTGCTGAATGCCCTCATGTTTTAGGAAGGAAATGTGAATATCTTCATGCATACTAAATTTCTTTGTTGATGGTTTTTGGTTTGTTTTGTTCTTTAATCAGTTGAACTGAACTTTTACTTTTCATAACTAATTACAATTCTGTTTTAAAAAGCTGTTTCTCACAGATGCTAATCACAATTTCAAAAGGATCCTTATGTCTAAGAAAAACTCAATATGGCAAACACTGGAAACAAACACAAATGTGCAGTCTGATATTTTGCTGTGCTTAACAGTCTTGCTGGGATTTAACTTTAGTTAGTTAACTCACCTCTGTGGGTAAAAATGCAAATGGCAATATCCTTTTCAATTTCATAATTCATTAACTTCCCAGTGCTTTAATCTATTAAAACTATGCCATGCATTTCAATGAACATTTAATCTAATCACAGGTCCATCACAGTTACCAGCTGGGGGCAGCACTGCAATTGCAAATTGACACGCTGCATGCTCTGGATAAATACACAGCGTTTGGTCAGTTTTCCAACATATTGGGAAGGAAACCAAAACACACTCAAAAAAGCCCCTCATCTCACATGCTGAAGACCTTGTGGTAATAGAATGAAAGACGACAAAATATGGGAGGAAACTATAAACAAAACTGCATAGCATGTTGTCAAGGATACGCAGGAGACTAGATCACATACTGAGGTGCTGGGAATGACCATCTTCCAGGAAATCCTCACATGCTCTACTTTAATGCAATAGTAATAGCCAACATAATAATAATGTGTACATAATTAGATGTCATTTCCTAAATTGGGAGCTAAGGAAGTTAGTATTCCATTGTAATGAATTTCTGATGATTGTTTCACTACTGTTTAAACACTTAATGACAACATTATAACTGTATGAATACAAGCACGCACCACAGGCTACTATTGCAAAAATTCTGCATTATTAACATGGCTTGTGTCAGTATGGAAGGGGACCAGGTGAAGTTAAAAGACAACCACCAAGCACGCAGACTTTGGCATAGTTATCTTGTGATGTGTAACTCATATCTCTTTGGAAAAGAACGTTTCCTCAGACAATGTTTTCAGTCATTAGCCTAGCGATGTCATAGGCCTCCCACAGACACTGAATTTTTAGTGACCAGCTAGCTACAGGCTCTTGTTTGTATTGCTACACTCCTACTCCTGAGCACAGCTGAGTGATAATCCCAAATGTTTAGCATACTGTCCAGTAGTATAATTCAGCATCATCTTTTATACACTATAATTCCAAGAATTCGAACACAATTTAAATCGTTCAACTAAGTCTAAAACCAAAACAATAAATTAAGATATTCCTCATCCCAAAAAGATTTTTTTTCCTCCAACTTCAGTTAGGAGCAAATAAGTCTATGATGATACAGAGCTGATAAACAGCAGAGTGACAGTCTCAATCATATTTGTATAAACAGCAGCTTCAGTGTAATGGTCACTTGTATCATATGTATTTGTGATATAATTCACGTGCTACCTATAAGCAAAAAGAGCTTTCATAGTGGTGGAAAACAACACTGATAGTCCTTTACTCAGAATTATCGAAATAATACATTCTTTTCCTTTAGTGTTTTGACCACATGTTCAGAAATCCAGTATCTAATAAGAATAGTTGATTGTGTCTTCTTCCAACATCTCAGGACAGACATATGCAAGAAAAGTTACATGTAATTTGTATGGGAAGGGTAGCTGTATCCCACCTTTAAGTTTTTTGGTACTTTTTGCTTGGCACAAGCCCCCTGCTAGGGGGTAAAAAAAAAAAAATCCAACGGGATACTGGGCATACTTTCCTCTTTGACCAGCAATTCCTTTGCTCTATGAAGATCCTATTTGGCAGCTCTCCAGGTATAATTTTTGCTTTGTCTGTGGTCTCTTTCAACCAGTGAAGCAGCATGAAGGAGCCTTTGGGAATCTGATATTAACCTGGAAACTTCTGTCCTTATGTTCTATGTTCTAACTACTGAACTGTACTGCTACATGCATACAATAGTCTCTCCATACTTCCCAGTTCTTCACAAAGAACTTTCAGTAGCTCTATTAGAGAAACTAAACCAAAGAAATAGAAATTACCAGAGTTATTCAGAAGAGTTTCTCATTCACTACATGCCAATGAAGAGGAAAGAACATAAATGTTGCTGCCCATGTTCTCTGGAAAGAGAAGGCTCACATTTCGCAGGCTTTCTTTTTCACTATAGGAAAAAAGGAACCTCATCAGCTGCTCACACCACAGACTTCTCTCTATCTCTTTACACAACGAAAAGGAGATGTTATAATAAGTCCTTCAGCTGCATATTTTCAGAGGAGAGAATGCAAAGTGCAAAGCAGGAAACATTCTTTCTTTTAAAGTACTTTCACCCTCATTGTATCTTTTATCCATGTCTTTTGTTTTGACCTTAGAGCAGATTGATTTCCCCACACACACACCTTGAATGGGTCAGTGTGTCACAGTGTTTGCCTCTGCATCCCTGAGAGGGCACATGTGACTGAAAATCGGAGATAATTTTTGTGGGCAGAGGCCCTAAAGAACATACACTGAAATCCCACTTACTCAAATGTAAAACAATTTCTAAGCCATATTGAAATGTACATTAAGATCAAAAAAAAACAAACCGAAACAAACAAACATACCATAATGAGCACTGTTGAAAGTACCTGCAAGAGTCTTACATGAAGAATTATCACCACCACAGATTCCACATTTGTCTCTCCTTGCCTTGGAATTCAAAATGTGATCACAGCCTGCTTGCTACAAAAAAAATACAATAGCCCTGTGTCATTCAGCCCAATGGAAAACAATGAAAACAAACAATATAAGCTTCCCACTCCCCAAAAATATTCTTATTCACTGTATATATCTGGCCTTCGTTGGCAATTCATGAAAAGCCTTTTATGTTTTTGGGTGCTGTGATATAAGGGCAAAACACAATAGTGCTGTGGTACTAACAATGTACAATCCAAATACACTTAATACATCAGGAACTGTATAAGAACACATAATAGTATGTAAAGATTTTGTATAAAAATGTCAACATAGTGTATAAATCTTAAGTTATATTTACATTAAAAAGTCTTGGAATCCTAAAAGCAGTACGTATGTGTACATGGTGATCAATTCTTTTAAATTAAGTCTGTCATTACTGCAAAACAAGCAAAGGAATACACATAGACTATGCTGGTTAATAAGCACAATTTTTGTTTATGTATCTTTACTTAAACTTCCTTTTTTTAAAATTATGGTAAACAGGACAATTCTCTGGCATTTCCTCTTTCCTCTTGATTCAACATTATAAAAAAGGCTACATTTTCTCCTCATCCTGAATATACTCAGTTTTGCTGCAATCAGCAAAACAACCTGGGCTTGACAAAAAAGTCTTGAGTTTTTATAACCTATCAGCTTGCTTCTCACAACAAAATCTTGTGGCACTTCCATAATTGCTATTAAGCAAAGAATGCTGAAATGATCCCTTTCAAGGGTCAGTTCCTCCTGATTTTGCAATGAAATAATAAATACATAATCTAGCTAACCTTGGATTTTCTACTTGTTTACTTCTTTGATAGCAGAAATATGATGCAATAAACACACAACATGCTTCTTTCCTCCCTTTATCCCAATTTTGGATCAGTTTCTCTCTGCTCACTTGGACAATATTAACTTTCTCACATACCAGGCTTAATGAGGAAAGACTGCGGGTCTTCAGATTCAACTGTATGTTGTTCACTTAATTGCCTCCATTTCCAGATCTTTATTTTGGTACAGATTAAAATTAACTTAAGTAAATTCAAAATATCTTGCTTTACATATTTTCAGTAATGGTTATTTGGATGAATATTTAATATCTACTTTACCAGCTGTTAAAATTGATTTTAATAATTAATAAGTTTAGATTTAAATACCCTGCATAAGCCTTGAACACAAAGGTCATTGGTTTCTGCTCCACAGGGAGTACCATCAGCAACTCTGTCCTTCAGCTGATAGTAGGAAGTTGTTCCAGAAACTCGGCAAAAAAGTTTACAGCGATCTTTCATAGAAACTGGAAAGAAAATCCAACAGGTTTCTTGTCTGTTTTAAAACTTTAATTAAAGTAACATTTTTATTTCATTAATTGAAAAAAATTATAATTACTTACTACCACTGTATTTTGGAAGCCAGCGAACAGCAGATGTAAGACCGTTGATGTTAAAGTGTTTGCCATCAAATTCAGAGCACTGCTGCTCCCGGAAATCTTTTTTGCCTTTTGGACATGAATCAGTATTACATGATCGAAATTTCATCCTGCGGCCAACACAGTACTTTCCTCCATTTCTTGGTCTAACAAAAAAAGGTAAATGTAAAACACACTCAGTTTCTAAGATTGCCGTTTTCCATGAAAAGTGGCTTGAGCCACTGGTCTAAAGATGAAAACCTCACACAGCATTCTGCCATCTTTTAATGACTTTCTTACACTCTGTCTTCTGTTGCACTACGTATACATTTATACCCATGTGAAGAAAATAAAAAGTCCATGTAAAATACTACTGCTGAGGAAGGTGGTAATCAAGCTACTGATGTTTATTAATGTCTATTACATTTTTATTTCCCTTACACTCAGAATTATTTTGCCTGGGAAAAAGCATTATTAACTTTAATGCTTTCATCAACTTAGCTGGGATTACAGCCCTGTTTTTCCAGAAGCAGCACCTCCCTCGGTAAAGTCTAAAATACATTTCCTAACTGTTATAAACCCTGCTACACAATACTTCAGTATTAGCAGGTTCTTGGGGAGGAAAAAAAAGAATAAATCAATGGCATATTGATACTATCAGTTACTACAGGCTGACAGAGGCATATCTAATGGGAATCTAGTCTACTGCCTCTTACTCATCAGAGAAAATAAAATAACCTGGGGTTGTTTGATTGAGGTTCATTTATCCCACTGATAATATCAAGATGACATGACTTCCTAGAAAAACCCTGAAACTACCCAGGCTGGAGCTATGGTTCTGCTTCTGGAAAAGTTAAGGGTAAAGTTCTCATTGACTTTTATAACAGAGAATGAAATCCACATTGAATTATTCAGTCAATGGAAGTTTCTCATTATAAAGGTAAGTTGTAAATGACTCTGCAGTAACCAGTGTTCCTTGTAGGCATTACTGGTGGTGATGTTGCAAAAAAGCCTTAAATCCAAGCAAATCAAGTGTTTCACTAAAAAGATGACCAGGGAATACATCTAATTGTCTTTGCGGCTTTTACTCCAAAGAAAGCATCTCAATGTTTAAAGAAACCATCAGTATTTAGAGTAAAGCTAGGAAATAAGACCTTACCAAAATAAGTCTTTAGAAATATCTATAAATATGAATGATATAGTGGAGATGAGTAATCTAAAAGTTCTCTGCATATTAGAGTCTGTAGACTTATCTCTCTTTTCAAACATGGCCAAAACAAGCTTTTTTTTTAATTGATGCTTTGAATTAATTCGCACAACCCACAATACCTTCATTTTGTTTTGAACCAATCCATTATGTCATAATATCTTCGTTATGCACTAATGTAAACCACAATAAAAAAGACATACTCTGGTCTGTTACAGAGTCTGGTGGTGCTCTTAATTCCACCTCCACAAGTTCTTGAACATGAGCTATAAGGTCCCCATGGTCCCCATTCTCCATCTACAGGACGCGTCTCCATTTCTCTGCTCACACAAATTCCATGCCGGCAGTGCTGTGCAGTTGACAAACAAAAAATTTGTAAGTCACTGTATATTTTAGACACAGAAAGAACAAAATTTAAGAGCTCACTGCTCTTAATCTAGAAAATTTGGACATTTTCTAAAATGTTCAAATTCCTTTAAGATATCTTACCCAGTAGTCATATTTTCAAAAATGCTGTCTAGAGTTCTTTGCTCTCTATGAAAGCTACTGGATGCTTGAATATATCTTTAGGTCTTGTCACTTTATTCAAATGCTTATATAAGAATCTCAAAATCCTGATCTTGAATTCCTGATACGTTTTCACGCACAAACTTCAGAAATAGATTTACAGTCGTCTTGCATGTATGAGATTCTTCCAGTTTAATTTGGGAATTCATGCTGATACAGAAAGTGAAAAGGTATGATAACAAACCACCCAGAAATTCAGGGTGTTTTGAGCATCCTGAAAGCTAAAAAAGCTAGTGGGATTGTTTGGGAAAAGCACACAAATTTTCAAGCATTTAGGACCTTGTTTATGCTAAAGCAAGATAATGCTAAAGCAAGATAATGCTACAGATTCAAGCTTAAACTCAGACTGCCACACCTATAACAATAGGTATAAACTATTTTTTATTTTTATTTATTTATACTTTACAATAATTTTATATTTACTATGAATTTAACAATTTTACTATTACCATTAAAACTGAATTAATATTTAAAGAAATAATAATTCTTAGAGCAAGATACTACATTCCA